GAGGTGTCAGAGTCAGATGTCGAATTTCAGGAAAAAGGCATTCGGTAGCTCGAGGGAGAACAGCCGTCGAGCATCGTCAGACGTTCCCCCACGCGCGTGCGCGACACTCACTCTGCATGTGTCGGCCGGTGAGATTCCTTTTGAGTCCGGACTCATCGGAGGTGAGGATAGCACCGCCCTCTGGGGTCATGTGGACACGTTGGACGTTGGCATACTCAGGGCTGCCGTAGTCGTTGACGCCATTGCCAGATCCGACGCTGGCCTTTTCGTCCGTGACGACTTGGCCAGTGTGCTTGTCGGTGACTGCAGGGCCTTGCGGCTCCAGGCCAAAGCCAGGAGTCTCTGGCTTGAAGCTGTCAAGGAAGTTTTTGAAAGCACCCATGTTGAGCGGAAAAGGGGATGGGGGCAATGTCGCTTGCAAGGCGAGGAGGGTCCTAACGGGAGCGCAGGGGGACATCCGAGGGACATGGTATGGGCAGTCTTTATAAACCGAGGGGCAGGTATATGCTCCTATCGCAGCGATATCAGCAGCCCTTGCGCGCGACGCCGCCGCCGCGAGAAGAAACCGCCACCCGCGGAGGCACGTCAACCTCTCCCCACACAGCGCGGGCGCAGGGCTAATTTCGTATCACCATCTCGTGGGTACCTACAACAGATGAGGTGCCACAAGCACTTATCGACGATCAACCCCCAGCTCTCTACGAGCCTGCAAAACACGGGCAAATCGCCGTCGACCTAGCCTTGGCCTGCATGTACAGCTCTACTAAGGAGGAGCGCGACTCCAACAGCACACATGCAGAGCCTAGAGCGCTCGATAACTGCTGTTAGCGCGCTCGTTCGACAAGGCTTTCTGCGTCGGCGAGTGCAGGGCTTGCATGAGTGGCGAGGACCTGCATCGAGGAACATAGTCTGGATTTGCGAAGACGTGCAGTCAAGAGATTAGCACCTTGTGGCTCTGCACCAGTTCGTGAGTCGCATTGGGCAGAGCCTACGTGGAAGAAGGGAGTCTCAGACAATGCAGCGCTCTCCCGGCAGCAAGCCAAGACTAATGCTTGCGCCTCACGCAAGGCGCTCTAAGCACGATAAGATATCATGGCACCATACCACTCTATATAGTAGCTCGTCTTCCTTCCACGATGATCCATCGCACCGCGTGTGCGGCCCAGTGCCGGTGGTTCGCGCGAGATGTATTCCGCGGTCGACTGCGTCCGCCGCTCCGTTGCTTTCGCAGTCCGCCGAGAGTTGATGACCTTCGCTGCGACGGGACTGTCACAGAAGCGCGGGAAGCCTGACGAGCGTTAGAGACGGGTACAGAACACGCGGAGAGATATCGGTGGCGGGTGTTCATTCGGAGCGCAACTTTGCGCAGCCATCCGGAAAGTGCTCGGCCCTTGCGACGACGAGGGGCGATAAGCATCTCAAGTTCGCTGACAAAAGCTCAAAGTGCGCAAGCATCCTCAAAGAGGAAACACTGATGGTGACTGGCTCGCTCGTTCGCATTCTTGATTCACATCCACCTTGCTTCGACCACGACTGTCTTCGCATGCATATCGACCGTGTTCGAGCCCGTCGAACAGCCAAGGAGGCACTTTAGCGCGCTCGTCCATCATCTCCTCTGCTGGTCGAGCAGCTGCTGCATGCAGGTCGCCTGCACGCCCGCTTTTGACTTTCATTCGTTTCACTCGTGATTGTAGGCGAGCTTGCTGCTCGGCTCGGCTCGTCGATTGCCGTTTGCCGTTTGCAGCAGGGAGAGAAGAGCTCACTGCGCCCGTGTGGGGTCCTTGAGTGCATGTGCGCAATTGGTTCCTGGATGAGCATCTGTT